AGCCCAGGTTTGTCCTGCCACCTTCTGCTTTGGTGTGCCCAACCAAGCTGGGCTGCGCCTGACTCACCTTTCCAGGTAAGCAGCAAGGTCTCCAGGCTGTAAAGAGTGAGATATCCCTGAAACACCGTGAAGTCGAGAAAGTGCCCCCTTTCCTCCATCTTGCCTCCTTTCAAAGCCTAGGAGTTCACCTCTCATTTACTGTCTTCTTTACAATCAGGAAAAGTTCTTCCTATGTCCCGAGAAAGAATATAATAAAGAACAGTCTGTTATAGCCTACTCTGCCTTCCTAGTGTCTAAGAGATTTATACAGTGTGGTGTCTAGTTTTTTTGTGGAAAAACTTTCCAGCTGGGAGTGATAGAAGGAAGAGGTGTGACATTTGGTCAAGAATAACAGTTATCTTTAGCGTCTCTATTTACCAGAGGTGAGATTAGTTGCTATGCCTTTGGGAGACAGAAAGCTGTTCTGAAGGCATACAGGAGAGGGGAGCTGAGATTTGGTGGGGAGGCATGGCATCCCTGGAAAGAAGGCATTGCCACGAGATGCTGCCATAAGTCCTCTAGATTACAGTGTGGCCTGGCTGTTTAGATCTTCCTATTGACTCAAAAAAGCAAATCTCAGGGATCCTGGGTTAGAAAACCCATGGATTTGATGCAGAATGATCTCTAGAATATCCTCTTGGGACTGACAAGATTTCATTGAGTGAGAAATATGCTTGAGAATATGTCTCCTATGAAATGAAAACAAAAAACAAAAAACAAAAAAACCTGAGACTCCTGGGAGGCTCAGTTGGTTAAGTGTCTGCCTTTGGCTCAGGTCATGATCTCAGGGTCATGGGATTGAGTCCCGCATCGGAGGTCTCTGCTCAGTGGGGAGCCCACTTCTCCCTGTCCCTCTGCCCCTCCCCCCACATGTGCTTGCTCACGTTCTCTGTCAAATAAATAAATAAGATCTTAAAAAGAAAAAAGAAATAAAAGAAAAAAAGAAACCTCCTTGATCTGAAACAATGTGGATTGTAGGCAGCATTTCAAAGTAATCACAGGACACAACTGAACAAATTAGGGTACATATACAAAATACGGTCAGTACAAACATGCTTTTAAAAAACTGTAGCTTGCCAAATTAATTTCTATAAGCAATGAAAAGTAATTAGATTTTCTGACTAATTACATTTATTGATTGTTCAAGGTCATGCTTCAAAACAAAGAAAATGGTGAAGCTTTTAAAATTGTAATAGGACTTTATGAAGAACCTGTATTTGAAATAATGTTTTATTTTTATTTTGACAAAACCTGTCATTCTTCTAATCAATGAATAGATCTAGTCTCCTACTTTCAGCTTTCAAAACAGAGCCCGGTGGTCATGCTGGGATACAGTAGTTCTGGACGTGTTTCAGATTTGAGGAACAGGCTCACCAATTTAGGGTCTATTTGCTGGAACTTAAGAAGTTTCTAGGAAGTAGTGACTCAGTCCATTAAGCATCAGACTCTCAGGATTGTGAAATCAATCCTGTTCAGCCCTGCATTGGCTCTGCACTGAGTATGGAGCCTGCTTAAGGTTCTCTATCTCCCTCTCCTTCTGTACATCCTCCCTGGTTACACTCACACACTCTCTCTCTTTCAAAAAAAAAAAAAAGAATAAAATAAATAAAGAGATTTCTAGGAAGTAAATTATCCCTCTTCTTTCACCCTCCCAATTATATAACTCACCGGTGGCAAATAGCAAATTGTTTAATTGGAGGTCATATGATGCGTGTGTGTGTGTGTGTGTGTGTGTGTGTGTGTGTGTGTGTGTTTTAATGCCTCAGTAACAGTTTTACCTTGGGACCAAGATTCACACCTGAACTAAGTCTCATTGTTAACCAGGAACCAAGACATCCAATTAGGGAAAATGACACAGCTGTTAATGAGGCAGGAATTCAAAAATAATTCTTTGGAGCTATAAGACTGAAAAGCTGTAATTTCCAAAGGATTGCTTAGTTTATTGAAAATAGACCAATTCAAGACAAGACAGAGAAAAGGAAAACCCATTCTAAGAGTTTCGTCTCATTATATAAAAATCTGGGGTTACGTTTATACACGTCTACACCCCCGCCCGCAACCCCACACCCTCCTCTGACAGAGGTCATTCTTCTGAACAGCGGTGACCCTGTAATAAACCTGAGATGGTTTTACCCAATACTGCAGTTGTCCTGGTGGCACCCTATTACCACTCCACCTCATTAGACAACATAGACATATAGATCCCTGTCACTGTAGAAGGTTCTATGGAATAGTGCTGAGCTAGAGGATATTTCCTGCAATTACCTAGAACTAACATCTTTTAAAACAGCACCCGACCCATCACCAGTCGGTCGAGCAAACATGTGATGGGCCCGCCATCTCAGTGAACGCACACAAGTATGCTGGTTCAGCAAAGTCACAGCGAACACTTTTGTTTCCAGAGTTCACATTTCCTGATGCATCAGACTTCTGGAGCCGTGCCCTCACTCTTCCTAGGTCCCACAAATTTATAAACAGTGTTGGCATTCAGTGGAAAATGGGGACATGGCATAAGAAACATTGAACGTAACAGCTAGAAAAGATGATTTGATCCCTTTTAAATTGTGTCCAAAGGGCATGAGGTCACCTTAATTTTGTTCCCATGTGTAGATTTTTCCTTGATGAACAGCGCAGCAGAGAGGACAGCCAGATTTAACTGAGTTAGAGCTGAGGGAGGACATGCTGCAGGAAAATTACCTTCAGAATGTGTGGCTTTATGTCAGTCACATCCCTACCCCAAGCAACAGATGGATGGAATAATGGGGCCTCGCCTCTTGTAAAGGTGGCCAGGAGTCGTGGAGAAGACAGCCCTTTGGCAGCAACCTTCTTCCTCTAGGGCAAAGGCAAGTTAGAAACAGAAACAGAAGCAAACTACCTGTCTATTTGGTGATTTATTGCTGAAAGATCTAATTGTGAACACAGGGATTTATTTGTTTTATGAAATGTTAGTGAACACTTACTGTGGTCTCTACTCTTTTTTTTTTTAAGATTTTATTTATTTATTTGACAGAGAGAGAGAGAGATCACAAGTAGGCAGAGAGGCAGGCACAGAGAGAGGGGGAAGCAGGCTCCCTGCTGAGCAGAGAGCCCAATGTGGGGCTCGATCCCAGGACCCTGAGATCATGACCTAAGCCAAAGGCAGAGGCTCAACCCACTGAGCCACCCAGGCGCCCCACTAAGGTCTCTACTCTTGAGTTATTTACAGTCTAGTGGAGGAGTTTGATATGTTCACTGATTCTTAAAGCATAATGTAACAAATGATTATTTGTGAAGTCAGTGATGATGATGATGATGATGATGGTGAACATTTATTGGGAACTGTTCAAGTGGCAAGTGCTTTTTCTAAGTGCTTTACATGGAGAAGTACAAAATAATATTTTGGGAATATAGCTGCTGGGAGGATCCCCATGTGAAACTATACCACACTGTTTTTCAAAATTTCTGGGAAACTTGGCATATAAACAAAGCAAAACTTCCATGAGTTATTTGGGAAGCTAGAATTGTAGAACAATTTAGATAATGGCTTTTATTTTTTTCAAATAACCTTTTATTTTGGAATTATTTCACATTTATGGAATAGTTGCAAAGAAAGTATATGGAACCTCCAGATGATAGTGTGTTTCTGATTCAGACAGCAATGACTTTAAGTCCCAGGTCTGCTATTTGTTATTGTGTCCTTAAACAAATTATTTAACCATCCATTTACTTAGATGTGACTTCTTGAATTATAAAATGGTACAATAATACTTGTTTTAGAAGTCTGTAGGAAAGAAAAAAAAATGATAGATATGTGAAGTGCTTTGTACACGCTTGAGCTGTTGATATGCTTAATAAACATTGGCACTTACTATTATTTATATGGATGATATATTTGTTTTAAGAAATTAATGAAAATCATACACTGCAATAACTTTAAATGGCCGATGTCTAACAATTACAGTTTTAGCTCTTCAAGAGATAGATTCCATTTCCTTCCTTATCTTTCTCCTTTTCTAAGGCAGTTGAAGGAACTCTTAGCTCTAACTTCCACCCAGGCTCAGTCCACATCACGTCAAAGGGACCCACCATCTTCTTGTCCCCCAGAAAGCTCTTTCCACCTAACGAAATGGAGGGAAGATAGAATGGATATGCCCATTGCCTGAGCAGTTCAGACTGCTTAAAAGGTGGCCAAGGGTCAACAGACATCTATTTTTCACAGTTCTGGAGCTGGAAGTCCAAGCAAGCTCAAGTTGTCAGCAGATGCAGTGTCTGGTGAGAGTTCACTTCCTGGTCTGCAAAAGACGATCCTCTCATTGTCTCTTCACATGGCAGAGAGCAGAGAAAGGAAACAAACTCTCTCCATTCTCTTCTTATAAGAGCTCCAGTCTCATCATGAGGGCTCTACCCTTATGACCTAATTACCTTTCAAACGCTCCCATCTGCAGATAACATCACCTTGGGGATTGGGGTTTCAATAGGTGAATTTTGACACGGAGTCCATAACACCCATCCAGGATGAGAGTCTGGAAGAGGCTGGAACATTATTTTGTGATCTGTTCAATAGGAGCTCACTGAGGGGCCTCACAGAACACCGTCTCGGGAACTTTGGGCATAGATACAGGACTCCTTTTTCTGTGGGGCTGGCCCATGATCCATTACTCAGTTTCCCAGTGTCGCCCTGCTGAGCTGGGAATGAGGTGGAAGGGCAGAGAAACTAGAAGGCCAAGCAGTGTCTTCTGTGAACTCTGAGATGCTGAGGGCCATTTCTCTACCTCACAAACACAGAGAAGTCTCAGGACTCCCCCTGGACTTCTGTGTGGTCCATTAGGGTCATGCATGTTTACCTTCATCATTAACCAACAGTTACTCCTACTATCTCATTTCTTTAGAAGAAAATACTTCTATCTAGGTATTATTTGGGCTATGCATTCAAAATCGGTTTTCTCAAGCTTCAAAATTTCATGAAGGGCAGTCATACTTGAATTGTCTCTGTATTTCTTTCTGCTACCAGAAGACATGTCTTGTGCAGGAGCCATGCTAGTCTTCTCTGTTATCATTCCAATTTTAGTATATGTGCTGTTGAAGGGAGCACTAGAAGACATTTCTGATGATCACTTAGCACCCCCCTTGATTAAAACAAAGACACCAGCTCAACACTGAGGATTTGCTTTTTCTCCTACCCTTCCTTGCTTATGTGAACCTGCCCCCTCACACCCCCAGCACAGGCTCTCTCTCTCTGTTTCTTTCTTAAAGACATATGTAGTAATAATTCACCAACATCGGACTTTAGGTCAATTTCAGTTGCTCTTTTCAATTCCTAACAAAGTTAGCAGAGGTATTGGGAAATTATGGGTCATTACAGTCTGAATGGAAATCCCCAGGTCAAGGGTAGTAACTTTTCTTCAGTTTAAAAGCTAATGTTGCCCTTAAGGCAATTCTAAAATATGTCTGAAAGTTGTTCCCATCAATGTTTTTTTGGAAAGAATTTAGGCTTCTTCCAATGGAGAGCCTGTTGATAGATTAGGTACCTCTACTGTGCCATTCACCAAAGATACTGCAAACATACTTCCTAGTGGTGAGGTACTTATGGTCCAGATGGTCATTTTGATCAGGTGGTGGCTGTGAGGACAGACATTTTCCAAGCACTTTCTATGATAAGACCTAATGCTTATGGAGTACTTACTACTCTATAGGCTCTATCCTTAGCACTTCACAGGTACTATTTCATTCGTCCTGTATGGCAACACCACAAATTGTGCACTATTATTATCCCCACCTTACAGTTGAAGAAACTGAGACACAGAAAGTTTCATTGACTTGCTCACAGGCACACAGGTGGGAAGAAGTGAAACCAGGATTTGAAGTAGGGCACACTGACCTTGGAACTCACTCTCTTGACTACTGTGTGAAAATATTATGCCTCATTTTGGAGGCAATACTTCTTTAGAAGCCAACATTGACCTGTAGGCTGACAGCCTCACCAGAATAACAGAAAGCAATTTGAGAGCCATTGAAATCATCCAGCAGCTTACAGATATTTCCTCTGTCACCCTCTTTCTTGTAACATCCTCACAATGATGTCATTGATGGCAGACAACAGAACATCAACAGTGCCAGGACTGAGGGCTGGATTTTTCTACTTGGCCCTTGATCCCAGGGCTTCTAGACCCAGTATATTCTCTCTGCACTTTGAGCTAGTCTTTACCTTCAAGCTTACAACCAGACTGATAGAACCAGAGTTGCTCATACTAATGCCACTAAAGAGCCAAAAAAACTATGTAAAAACTCTTTTTAAGTTACTATTATGGTGGGGGAGGATGTCATCAGGCCTTCAGTGAAGTAATCATTGTTCCCAAAAACAGGGGGAAAAAGTCAGCTTCCCAGCACTTCAAGTAAATTCACTGGCAAGGAGGCCTCGTGGTTTGAGGACGGCCTTGAAGACAATTGGTTATGCTTAATTTATTCCCTATTAGGCCTTTTCCAAATCCTTTAACAAGATTGCCTCTGATTCTTGGAAGGTTGGACAGAGAAGAGGAGTAGGCAGAATATCATGGACAAAGTTCTTACCTGTTTGAAGACCAGTATACAAAGGGTTGGTGCCAGAGTAGAGGGCCAGAAAGAGACATTTCCTCCAATCAGCTGAGAATGAGCTGTACTTCTGTCTCCAGGAGCTCATAGTCTCTAAAACATTCTTATTCTCAGCAGGCCATATTTCAAAGAAATCTACCCTTAAAGGTAAGAGAGAGAGGCTAATTTTATTCTGTATTGACGTGTGATTTATTTTGGATACCAAGACATACTGGATTCACTTTTAGTAGCCCCAAATGCCACGAACATTCTGGGGAATGGTAGAAATTGCTTAGTGATCATAGAAGCACCTCCATCAACCAGATAATGTGAAATAATTCAGGCTTAATAAATAATATATAGTAATTCAGATTTGCTTGGTACAAGGAGGCCAACAGATTTGACCTTAAACTTCAGTTATTTGGTAAACAAGTATCCTGTGAGGTTTCATTTAATTTTCATACAGTTTGAGGATGGCATTTCTATTCAGAGGGTAGCTAGTAAATGATTAGCCAAAACAACTCTTTTTGGCCAAAGGAGTCAACTCTGCAATAAACAATCTGGCAGCTTTTTCTTTTTTCTTTTCTTTTCTTTTCTTTTCTTTTCTTTTCTTTTCTTTTCTTTTCTCTTCCTCTTTCTTTCTTTCTTTCTTTCTTTCTTTCTTTCTTTCTTTCTTTCTTCTTTTCCTTTTTTAAGTTAAGGGGATTTTTTAAAGCATAGCAACCTTTTCCTCACTTTTATGAAACACTGCCCTATGTTTGCCAGCAGAAAATCAAAAACTTTCAAAAGGTCATGTGATGTCATCTCAGCAATGTTGAAATAAGAAGAAAACCAACTAACAAGCAAAAAGGATGTATCTGATAACGATCTTTGGCAGCATGTCTTAAAACAGAAAATATAAATATGCATTCATATATATGTAATGCTAAGAGGATTTCACCTTGAAACTTGATAGCTGTAATTTCATAATAAAGACCACTTGTTTGTTTGGGGCGAGATTAGCCTTTGAACTGGGTTATACAAGAAATCAAATCTTGTTTCATTATAGGAGGCATTGTCAGTATCCACCCTGAGTGTAAGTTTGAGCAGAAGGAGTAAGAAGCAAATTAAGCTTCCTCCTTGTCCCAGGCCAGAGGAGTTAGGCCACACAAACACAGACTGGGATCCTAAAGTTCTCCCATGAGGGTTTGGGGGGATAATATATCCTCCCTTCCCCACAGGATCATGGCCTGTCCCACACTGGGGACATTGAATTCTGGCTTGGGGTGATATTCTTCCCAAGGGACTTTTGAAAATGTCTGGAGATATTTTTGGTTATCCTACTAGGAGCTCCAGTGGCACCAAATGAACAATGCACATCAGAGAGGCTTTATAATGTCTCAGGAAATTAAGTAATCATTGGAACCATAGCCTACAAAAGTTAAACCGGGATCTGAGTGCCAAACCTAAACAGGTGACTGATTGCTAAAATAAAAGGCTTAAATAAGACTTACAGACTCTTAAGATAGTAATCAAAATGTCTAAGATACAAGGAAAATCACCGGCCATGCCAAGAGACAGGAAAAGCACAACATGAATGAAAGAAGGTAATCAAGTGACACCAACACAGAAATGAAACAGATATTGGGATTTTCTGACAAAGATCCTAAGGAGTTATTGTAAAATTGCTTTCATGAACAACTACAAATTCTCCTGAAACAAATGAAAAATAGAAAATATCAACAAATAAATAGAAATTATTATAAAGAGCCAAGTTGCAATTATACAGCTGAAAGATACAATAGCAGAAATTAAAAAACAAAACAACACAACTCACTGGTTGGGTTCGATAATAGACTGGAGATAACAAAGGATATAACCAATGAACTTCAGGACCAATTAACAGAATTTATTCAATATGAAGAACAGAAAATGGACAGGAAAAAATATAAACAGAGCCTCAGAGAACTGTGGGGCAATAACAAAATCCCAAAATTCATATCATTTCATTGGTAGTTGAAATAAAAGAGTATTCAAAAAAAAATAGCAACTGAAAATTTCTCAAGTTTGTAAAGACATTTACAAAACTGAACAATCTCCAAAGATGGTAAGCCCAAAAACATCCATACCACAGCACATCATAATTATACTTCTAAAGGTTAGAGATAGGTCATCAAAGCAACTAGAGAGAAACAACACATCAACCATAAGAGAACACAAACCCAAATAAAAACAGATTTCTCATCTGAAACCATGAAAGTCAGAGGGAAGTTGCACATTTTTCGACTGCTGAAAGACAAAACTGCCAACGGTAAATTCTGTATCTTACAAAAGTTTTCAAGAATGAGAGGGGAATTTGCAGATGAAGGAAAACTTAAGGAGTCTTGTTGCTTACATGCTTGTCTTTAGAAAAATGTCTGAAGGAAATACAGTTGACCGTTGAAAAACACCAGTTTGAAGTTCCTAGATCAAATTAAATGTGGATTTTTTTCTTTTTAAGGGTTGACAGCAAAAGCCAGGAAGTGTTTATTTACAGGTGTGTACCTGAGTCTCCACAAGATCGGATCAAAAGGTGACTGGGCAAAGGCCCCACCTGCTGCCCCCTGAGTACTCACGGAGGCCTACTAAGGCTGTCAGCAGCCCCTGGGGGTCTTGGGACCAGGCAGATCTACAGGTTTCCCTCTGTGCCAACAGGGTGGTTGGATCCAGTGCTTGGGACTGGCAGAAGGCTATGCTGACAAAGGAACAGCCCAGAAGGCAAGGACCACATTATGTAGGGAGTCTGAGCCCTTGATCCTTCATGTGCTAGTCTCTGGAAGCTCTTCAGGGGCTGCTGGGAGCTTCAGGTCCCTGTTGGGCTGCCATGGATCCCTCCCCAGTTGGTGTCCTGGCTCTGAGGCCTCCTGGAAGCTCAGGCACTCACTAGTAGCCATGGCTGCCAATGGCTGTAGGCTAGTGGTATACTTCTCGGTAGATGGGGCGACTGTACTGTACCTCCAGACTTTTATTGCCACCAGTGGACCCCAAAACAGCTGATGCTGCCGAGCTGAAGCCAGCAAGCAGAGGAATATAGCCATTGTGGGCCAGGCCCACCACCACTGGTGCCCCTTGGCTAGCCCAGCCTACCTATACACAGAATTTTTTCAATAAATATACGGCTAGTACTATAAATGCATTTTCCCTTCCTTATGACTTTCTTTTTTTTTTTTTTAAGATTTTGTTTATTTATTTGACAGACAGACATCACAATTAGGCAGAGAGGGGGAAGCAGGCTCCCTGCTGAGCAGAGAGCCCAAGGTGGGGCTCAATCCCAGGGCCCTGAGATCATGACTTGAGCTGAAGGTAGAGGCTTTAACCCACTAGCCACCCAGGTGCCTCCCCTTATGACTTTCTTAAAAACACTTTTTCTTCTAGCTTGCTTTGTAGTAGGAGCATCATATATAATACATATACATAATACTTGTTAGTTGACAGTTATGTTGTTGATAAATCTTCCAGTCAATAGTAGGTTATTAGTAGTTAAGTTTTTGGAGCATCAAATACTAC